GCTATCGCAGGCGTGCGGGTGTGCGTATTAAGCGGGTGCCAGTCCGTGGCGCGGGGTTCTACTATACCCAAGGAAATGCGATTACTAAGTTTTCTCCACATGTTTTCAAACGTCCAACATTTAAAGGGTCTAATGACATTTAGTGATAACTGGAAACGTTAAAGCTGTGGAAATTAGTCGATCAGATGCAGACCCGTTACAATTCCAGCTTTGCTGTCAAAATGTGTCAAACATTAACGAAACTTTGCACGGCACGAAAAGAAGAGTGCCCACAAATTTTATTGCGTTAAGAAGTAGACTGGTCTCAGTACTTCTGATTTATCATAGACTTGAGTCTGGGTCAGGTGCCACTTTTGCGAAATTACCGTTCAGCTCTAGTTATGCAAATTACTTTTCCTGCTGAGCAAATTGAAGGTCATTTTAAAAAAATCATATCTCAGCCAACTTCCACAGAATGCAACCATTGCAACCATTAAACAGTGAAACTATTAATCAGAGTTACAACTTTTGTGTGTAAAATAATCAGATTATTCGGCTATGTAAGGTAGGTTTGACAGAGCCCTAAAGTTTCAGCAAAATCGCACCACTTCCGACGGAAAACTGGCTAGTTTTAGGTGACCGAGAAAATCTTCCTGTAAAAAAGAGAAAAAATTGAGTTGGTCCAAATAAATGTGATATCATTTCATGAGATAGGATAGTTATCTTCCACTGAAAAAATCAGGGCAATCCGTGATAGACCGAAATTTGCCTTATCGGTTCTTACGCGGACAGCCTCTTAAGCAACGAGAACGCTGACGTCCCGGAAGTCATGATTAGCAACCGGAAGTTTGATATCTTGCTTGATGGAACGCTTCCTCTCACACAACTAATCTGACTGCCTTTGTTTTATCTCCCGCTGTACGAATTTGACGATTCGAAGCACTGAAAGAGAGAAAATATTATTTTCCAGGTGCCATTTTTGACGTCCGGGACGTCAACGTTCCTCGTTGCTTACGGTTTCCAAGGATTGTAGTGGAACCAACTTAAAACTTGTGTTCTCTGTATCAGTTGGATCCAGTCAGTTATCGGACACTCGTGAGAAGTGCGTATTCAAAACGTATCCTAATAAGAAAAGGCCACAGATGAGCGGAATTATGTGTTTGAGCTTAAGTGCAGTAAAACCCATTCAGAACTCTTCGCTAACTCTAATTTATTTCACTTTCCCTTTGTCTCAATTTAAAGATTTTAACTCGCTTTTGTTTTGTTTGTTCTCCTCTAAGTAGAATGTGTTTTCCTCCCTGTTCCTTCCTTAACAAATTACCCCTCGATTCGATGAAGAAAATATTGAAGCACAAGTTGCCAGAAATGGAACTGTGCACTTTGCCCTGCGCTCTGTTCGCACCATTCATCAAACGATGGGGCGTTACATTCCGGCTGACATGTTTGCCACTCAACATATGATGCCTGCCGAAGCTTTTAAAGAACGCAAAATGTAATCTGGTAAGCACGAGCAGTTTTTTTAACATGCACCGCTTTCAGGAAAGAATTTGAAGTTCCTGCTGTAGCTATTTCAGCTTGCACTAGCTCTGACATCCAGCCGCTGCCATTCAAAAGATCTCCAATCGCTTTTAGCAATGCCATCTTGGTGTGTAGACCACCAAGCATTATTACAAAAGACTCCTCTATATTCTTCTGGCCACATCCATTGGATTTGTTTGGCAATTTTGAACAGTGGCTGATCACAAGCGGAATTTGCCCAGGATTAACGACTGTCACAGCCTTTTTAACTACATTCATGGAATGACGAATCATTGCCACTGATTTCGAGTCATCCGGGAATAGAGGAAGAAGAGCAGCGACTACTGTAAGGCCAAGGATTGGGGTCGCAGCTTGTTCTCGTCTTCTCGAGTGGTTTGTTGCCCAAGACCCTCTCACTAACGTTGCCATAATTTCCTCCACCTATTATCTTGATAAGGTGATCGCACCAATCATTCTCTTGAGCCAGGGACACCCAACGAGAATATAGTTCAAAACCACTTAAACATAGAATTGTTAAACGTATTTTAGTATTTAAACGGTAGATATAGGCATATTTTTACCCCCTAAAAATTCTTCATCTGTTCGGATTTCCTAGCTGAAAGTCTAGTGATCCGAAAATTATAGGGATCAAAACTTACCCTTTCGAAAATTTCAGCCAGAAAAAAGGCTCCCAAAAATTCTAGGTGACCTTTTTAGGGTAAAAATTCGTTAAAAACAGGCAATTATACCAGTTTTTAGATGTTCGAAAATCCTAGGAGAGGCAGGCAAGCAAGAAATTTTACAACAAATGTTCCGAAAATTCTAGATCTCAAATTGTCTTCCGAACACATATTTTTCCGAAAATTGTCGTTGGGTGCATGCCCTTGTTGAGCTACAGCTTTACTCATAAGACCGCAGACGGGTTTATGTAGTCCATGCACAAACTGCTGGAACAGGAACCCCCTTTTTGTGACAGTGACCGCTGGTACAAGTGTGTAACTTT